TATATATATATATATATATATATATATATATATATATATATATATATATATATATATATATATATATATATATATATATGATAAATAATATCACATTCACTGTAGGCATTTTAAGCATGTGCCATTAAAATTAGTCAGAAACTTTTGTGCGAAAACAACTTAAAAAAAAAAACAGCATGCAATATTAACTTAACACTACTTCAAATCTTCAAAACTTACTTAAATAGTTCATACAATTGTTAAAATATTGTAAATAACGAATATAACTAATAATAATACTTTATTAATCATTAATAATAAATACTGTTAATTAAATAATAACTTTATGATGCTTGTCATTTGCATATGCTGATGAATCCTGCCTGTCTTCTGTGGATCATAACAACCATAAAGTCATAAAAATGTACAATAAAAAAATCTGAATGATTGTGTAAAAACATAATTTGAGGGTGTGATATAATCTGAAACTGTCCTACCTAAAGCAGCTGCAGTGAGTCTTGCTCTGCTCTCAGTTTCTGATGCTTTCCTGAGTCACTTTCTGATCTGTAGCAGCCTGATCACAGAGTATTGAGTTATAGCATCAATCCATGAAGGCTCAATTTTAATTTTGACAACACACAACAACAACAACACACACTTAAAGACCAACTAAGATGATACAAGTGTCTTTTGACCTTTTTTAAGGCCTCCAGAGATGCTGAATCATCTTCTTTGAGTTGGCTGGTTCCTTGCTTCTCAACTTCATGTCCCTCAGACTCCAGTTTGATGTATTGCGTGCCCACACTGCAGGCCATGGCAGAGGGACGCTCGTCTCTCACAGGACTGGATGCCGCAGTGTCTATCCTGGAGCTCTGAGGACCGTCAGGTTCAGGTTTAGAGGCAGCAGGTAAAGTGTAGAGAGTTGGGCTGGAGGTGTGCTGGCCTTTCACAGGGGTGCCCACTCGGACTACATGGACGTTGGGCAAACCCTGGAACTCATCCACCATCTGGAACACCCTGTCGAGGTTTACGTCGCCCCTCTGAGACTCAGCTGTAACGTGTGCGGGCCAGTTTGCGGTTTGGATGCTGTTGTGATGGTGGCTCACTGAATAGTTCTGCTGGAGTAATGAGAATGAAAGTATTGTTGTATTATATTAAATATAATTATTGCAAAACAACTAATGTTTTTTTGTGAGTCCTTTTCCTGTGGAAAATGAGTTTAATGCACTGTAAGATAAAGTAAGTCAGTACCTGGCGAGTAAAATCCTGAGGGATAGGACAGCTGCTGAGGTATATATTTAGGCTCCTGTGGAAACAGACCGCCGGGACCGCACTGAACCCTGTGAGAAGTGCTGTACGGATTGAGGCGAATGACAGAAACCGGGATGCCTTTGTTAGAGTAGAAGGGAGGCACATCACTGTAAGGAAAGATCCAGGAGCGTGGAGGGATCGGGCTTCGGTCAGACCCCTTCTGCTGATGGGATACAGAACCGAAATGCTGATTCGGGTCTGCAGAACCTAAGAAGCGAGTATAAAGGAGCTTTTGAGAAGTTTACAGACCATTGAAAGCTACAAAAATTTATTTTCGAGGTGTCAGTTCTGGCACTTCTTCCTAAGACTGTAAATTATGATATTCTAGAGGTGTCATTTTATGTTAGCATGCATGAGGGCCAGAGTCAAATCCTGATACAATATACATTTTTATAAAGAACCAAGCAAAATTCCAACTGAATTTGATGTATGGAAAAAAGTGGAACTGACTTGTTGATAACACTGTTAGTGTTTCACGGGAAACACCCAACACCATATAAAAAAACTATTATGAGTTTTCACTATAATAATTACTGCAGTGTCTTCAGAACCAACGACATACTTTTGAATTATGAACTGAAGCACTAAAGACTGATTTTTACTGATCTCATTAAATGCTAAAACTCATTGGATGTAATGACAAATTAATATTTTTATTAAGTTTTTCATTACGTTTTTGGACGCACGTGTTTTTTTTTTTGTGCTTCGATTTTTATAAAGTAAATGTAAGAATAACTTAACTCATATTTCCAGATGAACACTTACTGGACTGAAGCAGCTCGGCTTTACTTGATTCTCCATCAATCTTTTTTTTTTTTTTTGAAAAATCATTGCGTCTCAAAATCTGATCATCTGGCTTTTGAGGAGCGTTTATTTCTTCATCTCTCAATCAGCACTGGATTGCATTGCATTATATGTTTGGATCATTTCAATGTCATCTTACTAAGACATATTATTGGAGAAATAGAGTGATGACTGATATTTATATCCTTTTATGTAAGTATGCTATACTGTTATAAAGATCTCATTGATTTATATGAGCATCTGCACTAAATTGCATATTTTTTTGCTATGTTTGAGAGTTTTTTAACTCCATATTCTCATTATATCATGAGCCATAAAAGCCTGATGCATCATATGATACTCAACATAAACAATTAAAATTGTAACTCCTCCAGACATGCATGTGCCGTATTGAGGAGAGCTGTCACCACCAGTGTTGGGGAAAGTTACTTTTAAAAGTAATGCATTACAATAGTGCGTTACTCCATAAAAAAGTAACTAATTACGTTACTTAGTTACTTTTTATGGAAAGTAATGCGTTACGTTACTTTTTAAATCTGGGCAGGGCTTGCTTGTTTGTTTTTAAAATAAAAATTTACAATTTTTGGCAAATATAAAAGCCTTTCACGCCTAAAGTGAAATGAATAAGCCTCAGGCTGAAGGGAAAGTACATTTACGTCCGTACAGTAGAACGCAGAAGAAGATTTCAACACTCTTCAGCAATAAACAAACACACAAATGTTCGTCTAGAGTAATTTGTGCTTATTAGTACGCTTGAACTGGATCATCGAAGGTCAGAAACTTTGAAAAAAGTAATCTGATTGCGTTACTTGTAATGCGTTACCCCCAACACTGGTCACCACTCATACTTTGTTCATACAAGTAACGCGAGTTACGTAATCAGATTACTTTTTTCAAGTAACTAGTAAAGTAGCGCATTACTTTTTAATTGATGAGAATATCAGAGTTACTTTTTCAAATAAGTAACGCAAGTTACTTTTT